GGTGTTGCTGTTGTTGTTGGTGGTGGTGGTGTTGTTGGTGCTGCTGCTGCTGCTGCTGCTGCTGTTGTTGTTGCTGCTGCGGCTGCCGTTGCCATTGCTGCACCGCAGGAGCCTCCTCTTCCTGCTCAACATTCTCGTCGTCATAATCCGTCGTCTGCCTCTCCGTCTCCCTGTCCGTCACACCAATGCCTTCCTTGGCGCTGTTGTTGCGGTCGCTGTCGTCCTTGGTGTTGATGGTGGCACTGCTTCTGCTGCTGCCGCGGTTGCTGCCCCTATGGTGTTGCCGTTGCACATAGCTGCAGGTCTTGCGTGCCCTACCTCGTTGGCACGCCAAGCACAAGAGAGGAGGTACACGATCCCCAAGGCCTCAGCTGAACCCAAAGAACTTCGGCTGCGTGCCTACAATCGACTGCATGTGCAAAGGATGGCATGTAGGCTCTCCCGGGTCTCCCGAGAATTCTGCCAGATGCCGGCACGACAGCTGTGCCGTCAACGAACGATGATCAAAACCGTTGCGCTGGACGTGCAAAGCTCAGCAGGGTGCCACCGGCAAAGCCCTGCACTTCCACGCACATCCCTGCAAACCAGATCTGCTGCCATTTGCAGGCTTACATTCTCAGAACATGATGAGACCTGAAAGGGCTGCAACATACTGCCGGCCTCGCACAAACTTTGGAGCAGGGCGGCTGTGCACGGCATGAGGATACACAGGGTCGGCAAGTACACCTTGCCCAAGTTCAAATTCAGTAGCGGGAAGCAAACCAGCAAATCATGTCACGTCTCTGTACAGTTTCACTTCAAGCAACGGGTCCAAGAAGGCTGGGGGAGTTGCGTATCTGTCCGCGGCCAAGGCCCAAACCTTCGCATGACAAACATGGCAAGTCTGAAACAGTTTCGAATGCGAGATGCGGGCAAACACAAACCATGGGAGCACGACACAGCATCACGTTTCTCAAACTGCTGCACAGCGCCCGGGCTTTGTCAGGCGACTGCCGCTGGTCGCTGTCGAAGTCTTATGCCCACGGACAGCTCAAAACTGACCCAGCGTCAGTTTTACTCAGACTCACTCTACTCTATAACTGTTGACTACCGTTGTGAGCCAACTGGTTTTGACGGAATTTTGTCACTTGACTTGGTAGATCAAAGCCGACCCAGTTCCAGCTTGGCTAATTTGCTGCCACAGCTGCCACACCAGATCTTCGATCCATTTCTGTTGCTGGCACTGTCTGCCATCCTATGCTTGGTGCTTCGTGCTTGGTTTCCGCTCTAAGCACAATACTCAGCCTCAGGGCCAGCGAAACCCATGCACTTGTAGAGCTCGGCCTTGTTCGGATCAGAGCAGCCCAGACAGGATTTGGAACACCAGCTGCGAAGGCATTCAAACTTGCAATGGTCAAAACCATACTGGCCCGATTGCCCGAAGCAGCTCGCACAGCCCGCTGTCAGCTTGGTCTGGGAATGCACGCAGTGGGCCATCGAGTCGCGACTGAAGCCAGACCAGATGCTGAAGGCGTGGTGTCCACAATCAGCCACAATCTTTGGGAAACTGCCTTCATCACTGCCAGCGCCGAGTTTCTGCATTGCTTCTGCATCTGTGGCGACACACTTTCCTGTAAAGTTGCTTACGTCCAAGTAGGAATACTTTCCCGCGGTCCTCTTAACCTTTCGCACCTGCTTGACCATTTCAAGGGTGCATGTCTCGTCACCCGGCTCCTCCACTTCAGCATGACATTCGGCCGAGCATAGCACGCACAAGGGAAGAAGGAGGTAAAGACGTGCCAAAACCATTCCTCGGAATGGACCACAGCACAGACACTTCTATTCACGTGCTGCTTGTACGTAGATGCAGAAAGTATTATTTCTCCTCGATCAGTGTGTGTTTCCGGTGTCCATCTATCTCTCTGTCGGCTCTGTACCGCTAGGTTGCTGTAGCTGTCTTACGCATTGTCAAGAACACGCCACACATTTACACGATTGAAAACCTTTTGACCTATATTCACCTGCCGACCCTCCAGATCGCTCTGGCACATTGCTTGGCACTGTCACAAAGCATGTGCTGACAGGAATCCGGGCCAGGGCCAAGCCAAATGAATGATGCGACAGCGCGAGAACTCGGATTGATAAGCCCACAAAGAGCTGCGGACATGGAAGTGTAGCGAAGGAAGCAGCGACGCCTCAAAGCACATGCTCGAAGATCTACGTTTGCTGCCTGCCGAATCCAGTTCTGAGGCCCCCAGCATGGGTTGACACGACGCCCAGTGACCTCAGCAAGACAAGTGTACCACAGCATTGCGGTCAGAATAGCTCAGGCAAGCCACGGCCTCAGATGTGTTTCGATCATCAACAGCATGCTTTTTCTACTTGCTGGCGTCGCTCCGGGAGATTCTTGTCCACCAGACACAGGAGGACACTAGGCGGTACTGAGTACAAGAGTTGCAGCAACCACTTGCAGAATCAGGATGGGAATAAGTAGCACGAGCGCTGATATGATTCTGAACACCTGGTCAATTGATGACCGCTTTTCGCTTTTTTGCAGCTTCGGCCGATTTGGCGAAAGCTTTGAGAAGTGGTCTGCGCCGTGAAGGCGACCGCGTTCACTCGCAAGCAGCCCAGCAACTTCGTAGCTGTAGCTGCATCCAATCGGACTTGCTTTTCTGACAAGCAGAATCACTGTGCCAACGGGTCTGAGGAGGTATGGATGGATGCACTAACTGGAGCAAGCACACAGAGTTGCGCTATCAATGGCAATGTTGGAGACCTTCACCAGAGGCACACGTGCTCTGAGCAGAAATTCAGTGCCCTATCTACAATGACGACGCGGTCCTGACGTGCAGGAGCAGTCCGCTTGTTTCAGTGGGCCGCTCGTAACACTCCGCGATGGCAATGTGCGAAGGTGTGCTCAGACCTGTCCAGCTGCAGCACATGTGCAAAGATGCAGTGATAGATCCGCAGACTCCCAGAGACCCAGGAGCGAATGGGCATCGCAACTTCCTGCCTCGCCACAGCACAATCACTGAAAGCCTCCGGCAGGCTGCCGGCGGTGGAGTGGAACTCACCCGTTGGTGCAGTGGATGGCGGAGTCGGACCATCCTGCTTCGCATCGCTTCCAAGTCCGAGCATGCCGAGCGCGCATCTGCAGTAAAGGTGCCTTCGTGTCGACGCCAGCGAAGTTCGGCCTTGGAGCCGGGACTTTCGGCGTTCGCAACGCAAGCGTTCGCAGGCGTTCGGGAGTGATGTCCGGATGTGCCCAGCTTGGCAAGCTGCGGGCTGCACGGCTGTCGCGGGGCAGAGCCCGGTCGCTTGGCGCCTTCCGATGGTGGAGGCGCCATGCTAATCCCCGCACCTTCAGCATTCAAGCGCTCAGATGCGCTCAGTTAAACCTAGTCACACTGCTTTTCTGTTGACGGGTTTTAGGCCTCATCTGATCTCACATCTCACTGCCTACTCGTACCACAACCCCAAATACACCAACGAGCCTTTTGCTTCGTCCCAATGTTCTTGCAAGAGGTCGGCCGCCACGGATCTGTTGCTGGGCGAATTACTTGCACGAGTTTGCAGCTGGGCATGGATTGCCCCAATTTACTTTCGGAATTTCCAGCCGGATTTGTAGGTGTTCTGTCCTGAAAGGATAGCCTGCACAAGCCATCCGCGCAGACAAACACACACACACACACACAAACAGACATGCACACCCGGCGAATTATCAAAAAAATGCGGCAGATTACGCGTCTACTTCCGTCAGAGCTTTCAAGGGCGGATGTGGCAATGCAGGCGTCTCTGCATTGCCATCATGCTCACCCCCGCCGACTGCGAAGCCAGCATTGAACTTCAAGTATTTCGGCAACAGGCAGAGAAGCCCTCTCGTTCTGCAACATAGGTTCGGAGCCACTCGGTGGTCATAAGCCTGAGGGGCTTGTGTACCTGGGAATAGCGAACACTTCTTGTAGCAGAGCCCAGCAAACAGCTCCTCATCCGTGAGGCAGGCTCCCTCAAAGTTCGGGCATCCAAGTCCCTCCTGATCTCCGGCTACATCAAAGCCAGAGCAGAAATTAAGGTGGATCTTCGTGTTGCTGAGCCGACAAGGCTCTGTCTCACAGCATGAGAAGGGACTGTTCCGAATGGGAAAGTATCCAGCTGTGAGATCGCTGCACTTCTTGTAGCACGTGCCGCCGAATTGAGGGAACTCCTCCTCATCCCTTGCACACTTGTTTCCGTCACGTAAGGCCTCGTGCGGAGCCAAAGGGCTGTGCAGAGGCAGGCGAGCAACGACGCCAGATGCGAGTGACGCAGGCACCGGAGTGGTCAACTTGGTCGGCGGCTTGCTGTCTGTACTCATGAAGTTGCCCAGCATATGGGCAATGCTCTTCAGAGCTTTATGCTCCATGCTGACTGGGTTCAGCTTCTCTGCTTCTTCCCTAAACTCCTTAGCAACGCCGCTAAGGGTATAGGAGCCAACTACAGTCGTTCTGTCTGGAAAAGGAAGTTTCGCAGGCAAGAAATGTGATGTCGTGGAGCTCACTGCCGTCGCGGAATTTTGTGCCAGGGTGCTGGTCACGGCAGGGCTATTATGTAGTTCCACCATCCCCTGGGTGTTCACACGATCCATTCCATCACTGCCGGCCCGACGTGCCGGCAGTCCCAAGGCCACGCATGCAGTCGCCACCACAAGCACCACCGAAAGAGCCCCAACTGCGCGGTGCCATCCGCAGGGCCTGCTATGCTGAAATTCAGGTGGGAAGCGCTCATGTGTTTCCAGGTTTTCCTCGTCGGTCAGACAGTCTTCCACGGACTCCACCTTCAAGTACATTTTGCAGCAGAGACACCCAGCCGTTCAGATTGCACGATGCCGTCACCCGCTGGAATTTTGAGCAACTCTCCACGCCAAATGCAAGCGAACGGACGCAACTACTCCGTCAGAGGCTACTTCGCTTATCCTTGAATCACTGCATTCAGCACGGCAGGCCACTGAGGCTAGCACTATCACACTGGCCCAGGAGTGCGATCCTGGACGACATGGGGTGGGTTTGTAAGGCAAACCCAGGGGCTCTAGTATTCTTCAGTCTGAGCGCAAGGCTGATCTACGTCGGCCTCTCCAAGGCCATCCTTCAGAAGGAGTTCCAAGGGGGCCGTCGCAGGGAGTTCCTCCAGAAATGCGAGTTCTCCGCTCTCTTTCTTGTATTTGAATTTCTGCTTGGTGCCTTGTCGTAGCATCCACTGGACATCTGAGAGACCACCTGCCAGAAGTCACATGCTTTGGCAGTGGCGAAGCGGTGCTCTTTGCATTGCGATTCATTTCCCCGCCTGAGCATTGCTGCCTGTCTGAAGCTTGGGCAAGGTGATCACGACCGCGGGGGCTGCCATGTCCTCCGGACATCACATGCTTCTGAGGAAATGCCACCAGAACATAAGACCTGGAAACCTACACAGTCGATGAGAGTGAGATCGGCTCTCCTGACTGACACTTGCCTTTTCACTGGCCAGGTTTTGGGGCCTTGCCATATCGGTCCAGTTGTATCTGCCAGCATTCCTGTGCCACCGCAATCTGTGAAGAAAACAGCTGGGGTGCCCAACGCCGCTTCGCTCGAATGCAGCGGCCGTCTTGACCGAGCAAGTCGAGAAGGGTTGCCTGGGAAAGCAACAAAGTGGCCGTCCGTCCAAGTCAATAAGATCACTCCTTGGTAATCGATTTCGCCGAAGCCACTTATGGCCAACTGCGCTGCAACCATCTGGCGACGCTTTTCCAAAGGATTGAGGGCATGTCCTGCGAGTAAAGAGTCCAGGAAGGTGTTGTTCTAAAGTTCCTTCACTCAGCCAATAGCATCGGGACAGCCTGATGAAGGTGGCAGAGGAGGCGGTACCGGAACCAAGGCTCTCTTCGGAGCTTCGGCGAAATATCCGCTGCTTGTGCTGAGTGGCCTCGGCATGAAGCGCATCTCTTCTGCGCGCGATTTTCGATACATCCTTTGTAGAGAACCGAGAGAGAAGCTTTCTGGCAGATCGAGCCAGCTGCCCTGCAGATTCATCGTATGCTACGCATTTCTCTCGGCAGCAAAGGCGTCTTGTTGACGTTCTGTTTACTCGAACTTTCGACATAATGATCGGGCCTGCGCGCTTCTGCGCGATCCTGGCCAAGCTGTGCCGGATCGCTCGCTGCCTTGTTTGGCGAATGCGGATGCGCATATATAATGGCAAATACCTATGCCCCCTTCAAGCTCCACGTTTCAGATGGTGGATCAAGCCGAGGGACACAACACAGGCTGCAGAACGTTGCCGAAGTGCAGAGAGCTGCCCTGAAAGTTCGTCAACTAATGCCTGCGAGCACAGGCGCGGAGTCAGCTTTTCACTGCTTTCTCACTGAGCTCGGCACGTTGAAAGGAACCCATGGCTTCGCTGGCTGCTCCAGGAGGCTGGCGAGCACGCGCTGGGCGTTCTGCAAGGTCAGCTCATACCTCGCCACGTCGGACGAGGGCCGCTGTGCGGGAGAACCGGGGCGGGCTTCAGCAAGACAAGGTGCTGCTTCAATGGCAGCCGAGAGCTCTGCATGGCGCTGGCTGTAGGATTGCTTAAGCCAAGGAATCCGGAAGGAAATGAAATAAATGCAATGCCATCATCATAGACCCCGGACAAGTTGCATGTCACCATCAACCTACACTTCGCAAATCTGCGCGGGGGGGGGGGGGGGCAATTCTTGGGCACCGGCGGAAGCAGCAATGCCAGGTAGGTTCCCCAAGCCTGGCGCGGCTTTTGGCCGAAAGCCAAGGCCAGGCCTTCTTGGGAGCCGGGGAGCCCCGGGGAGGTCGGGGGAGGGGATCTCTCTTCGGCCGTGGAGCCAGGGATAGTGCACGGCAGCTCCAGCTTCTGGCCTTGGGACTTGGGACTCTCACTATATTCTATAGTAATCTATAGTAGATATTCTATATTAGATGCTATATACTATATACTGTATATTATACACTATATATGATATTTTGTATATCAAGCTCTCTGCGGGTGCAGCCCCACCAAGTGCAGCCCGGGTGCCCCCAGAGCCTCGAGAGCTGCGAAGCACGCGATGAAGACCACCGTCGCTGCCAGGAACGCCACAGCCGAGGCAAACTGAAAATCGGCCTGGACTTGCAAGGAGCCTACGAGAATGGCCTCCCTGAAGCTCCATACTTGGAGCCAAGCAAGTTCAAGCTTCTCCGGCAAGGCATAGCGGGGCCTGGGAACAAAACTGCTGTTTAGACTTTGCGTTGCTTTAACACGGTGAACCTCACTCTCTACAGTAAACTAATGTCTCCATCTCCGGATTGCCAGCTTTGGACCATACGAAAAATTGCTGACAGAAAGCACCGGGCGTAGTCCATGTCCACGGAGGAGCCTGAATCAGGTACATGCTGAATCTGCCGCTTTCGTGTTAAACTCTGAGCCGAAGGCAAAGGTTTGCCAAAGGTAGAAACAAGGCGCATAAGAGGCTCGAAGCCTAAGTCGACAGGGCAGCAGGACAAACTGGCTGTTGGTGTGGGACCCTCACACTGTCTCCAGGCTTTTCAATGGCCGAGCCTCAGGCGTTTAATGGGTTGCAAAATGCATCGATTCGCTGTGTGCCAAAGAAGCAGACATGGTGCTGCCCCTTCACAGTGTAGCTAAGCGTCCAACGTCTGCAGGCGCGCCACTTGCGGCCACCACGGCCATCACCGCCTCAGGTCTATGTATAGCCTCGCTACCACAACTCGGGAGTGGCTGAGGCAGCGACAGCACCAACTGCCTGAGGCACATAAGGCCAGAGGCTCGCTGCCGCCCCTCAGGGTCCGAGAAGCTGCTGCCCGGAACCGCTGCCACTTGCAGCTGTTGCCACGAACTGAGAGATTCCGCTCGCAGCTTTGATCTTGAGCGCGGGGCTCGCAGCCGCCAAAACCTGGCAGCTCTCACCCCATCTGCTCGGACCACAAGATGTGAACACGCTGCCATGTTGCTGCAGCAGTGTTGCTGACGGCTAGGCATCTTCAGCTTCCTGAGTCTTCGGCCATCGGATCTTCGTCAAACAGGAGCTCCCAGGCCTGAGGATTCGCACGGACCGTCGGCACTGACTCTGACTCTGGCAGCCGGGCGATAGGCAAAAAGGGCACACGGAAAAGTGACTGCAGAGGATTTGGAGCAAACGGCCAGGCCTCAAAGCGGCTCAGAATGGCTGCTGACAAATGCAAATCGTCCTCACCGCCGACAGCACCACAAAGGACTCAGACGCGAACCGAACAACAGAGCGCCACTGTACCGTAGCCCCCAGATGTGGAAGCCTGAAGCAGAAGATGCTTTCTAGCTTGCATTCGAAGCTCACACTCTAGGCCGCAAGCGTAGGCAAAGCAAGCCTCGTCCACCGAACGCGAGAGAGTGGCAACGCGACAGATCAACGCAGCCATCTACGTACCAAGGCTCAGACAGAATATCGAAGCCAGTAAGTACCCATGGCAGGACGACCAGCAAACCTCAATCATCGACGAGGTGCATCCAGCAGGCTCCTTGATGTTTGCTGTTTGGCCGAGTGCTCGGTGTCAACATCGCATCTTCCATAAGGGATGGCAGAACAGATGAGAGTTCGACCACCTCGGCGCGCATTGGATGTGCGGCAACAAGAGCCTGCCAGCCGTGAACACAAGCTCAAGACTCCCTGCTCACATCGCTACCCCACCGCTGCAGCAGCTGAAAATATCCAGGCAGAAGAACCCGACTTTCGTCGGCACAGGCGGCACAGCACCTGCATGTGCTGCACTTCCATCCAGAGGGCGAGGCGAGAGAAGCGGCTCCGCGGGACCAGCTCTGCATTCGCACTGGCCAGCACAACCACCAGGCCATGTAGCAGCCTCAACCATGCCATGGTGCGGAGATATTTCTCAATGCTATGGTACAGTTGACAATTGGGTGCGAGGCATGCCTGACACAGCAAACCTGGATGCGTTGACAACTAATCTGTGGGCTCGCCATGCTGTGACCGCAGAGATGCTTTTTCTAGGATCCGCGCACTCTGGCAGAAAGGCCAACATAGCGGGCAAGGAAGACTCGATACCTCAGCGAACGCTCACAAACTCGCAGAAGCCTTGGCTCACCCTGACTCGCCTACTTCCTCGCCATCATGCAATGACCATCGCCCGACAAAGCGGAGCTCTGTGGCCCCAGCAGGAAGGTCACCGGTTCGTAAACCTCTGCAGCCTACTGTACGAAGCCTCACGCTGCCGATGAAAGTGGCCTGGGCTCCTCACTCCCAAACCTCGGACAAAGGGAGCAGGCCCCGAGTCCCGAGTTGCAGAGATTCCAAAATGCTCCTGCGCAGTCCCTGAATCTCTGAGCACGACCGCCTGAATGTTGGGAAGGTGGGAACGGATGAGACCAGCATTAGCCGCATCATCAACGCTTCGTTTATCCATGCGACAAGAACAACCATCGGACCCGTCTACTTCATCCAACCCACCCCCTCAAATCTCTGCTCCTCCCATCTCTTTCGATTTTTCGGCGATCGAGTCCCAGCGCCATTGGGCGCATCTCGCGACAAAATTGCAGAATAAGAGGGTTGGCAGCACATGCTAACCGTCATCCGTCGCCTTAAACTAGCCACAGTTCTGCCAATCCTTGAAAGACGTCGGAAGACGTGGAAAATGCTCGAAGCTGCACCTCCAAGCCGCGGGGTTTTCCAGGTACAGGCACCTCTTGTTCATCAAGATCAACGCTCCGAAGTCCTCTTCATGCACGACGACACATCTGAAATCTGATGCTCCCAGGCCCCGCCGCAGTGAAAACCCCACAGAGCAACAGCCCACCTGACCGCTGCAACAACGCCCTCTGTCGCTGTCCGCGCGGTGGGTGCCGGGCGCAACTAGAGCGTGAGGGCTCGTGGAGAGCAACCTATTTCGCCGCTAAGTTGTACATCGAAAAGGCAGAAGCTTTGTGATACGAAATATACGAATCGCAGGGGCTCCGGGCTACCGGATGCTACCGCTCAGCTGCCCGGAGTGCTCTGAAGCTGCCTTTGTGCAGCAGTGCACCTCCAAGTCCAGCTTCGATGACTCTGCGCCTGGACTGCGCTGTTGACAAGATGCTGTCATGCGTCGAGCTTAACATCATCTTCAGGGTTCTGCTGTAGAGTCTACAATCTACAATCTACAAGCGTCAACATGGGCTGCACTTCGACTGCGAGCGAGTGGCATGATTTCAAGGAAATCCAAGAAGTCCACACCCGTCTCCTCTGACGACTTTGGTCCCTGGAATCCCTCAGAAGCCAGACTCTTAGCATATCTTCACTGCCATGCCGTGGCCCAGTGGCAGTAAATACAAAGTGATGACGAGCAGCCATACTTGGGGGAAAGCTCTGCGATTCTTCAGGTCTCTTCGCAGTGAAGCTGCACGACTGCGTGGGTGCCGCACCTAGTTAAGCTACGCACCCAAACGATTGCCAAGCACAGCCTACAGGCTCGGACAAGGCTGCGCCAGCGGTCGAACTGTGGTGCTTCTTAGGCAAGGGCTGCGGCTCTTCGACGGGATAGTCTTTGCGCTGAGCAGAAAGCATTCATGCAGCTGGTGGCACCTACAGCTCTTTCTTACATGCACGCCCGGCTACTTCTTGCGACTGGAGACGGGAGTTGCTTCCGAAGGCACTCGCGTTCTGAAATGTCGAAACATTGCTGGAACAACGTGACGAGGTCCTCGGTTCACTTCGACCCTTGCACAGGAAAGGCAAACTGAGCTGTCTGCTGCAGAATGTGCAGTCGCGCAGTTGGAGCACTGGCTGCTGGAGTATATGGCTAGCTTGCAGTGCAGTCACTTCACTTGATACCTTTCGCTGGGCTTCTTCGGAAGCGGACCTTGTTACATCAGTCGGTGTGTCTTGCAGTCCTTCTACCGTCCGAGTGGGGTGACTACTGTTGGTCGGAGGAACGAACAAGGATCTACAACGGCCCGCCAAGCAGCAGAAAAACGGACAGAAACTCGGATGCTTCGCGAAAGCTAAACTCCAGGCGCCGGATGGTCTCTGCATAGACCAGACCTTGGCGATCAGCCCATTTATGCTACGCGTGACGGGCAACATTGGAAGCTCCAAGGGATGCTGGAAGGAAGCACAGAGAGTTGCAAAGACAAACAGAACCAACCAGCAAGAGAGAGAACCAGAGTAACTAGTGCAGGACGAAGGAAGCGACAGCTGCTCCTGTACTGTAGCTGGGGCAGCTAGGGCGGCTGCACTGGTGCTTCTCCGTCTCATCCCGGATTGTGCGTATCAGCTGCAGGAAATCCATGTACTTGACCGCTTGCCTCTCGTCGAGCTTCACCTCTTTCAGTAGCCGGACCTCAAGCTTATGTATCCACGATTCTGTGGGAGCTTGGGAGTGCAAACCGGTGCGTCCCTGGAAATCCCTGCACTGGACCTGACATGGCGACTTGTCTTTCGCTCGTTTTGTGCTAAGGCGGATGTCAAGCAGTCGGGCCAGGCAAAGCCAACCATCAAGCACGAACATGAACAGAATGAACTCCGGCGCTGTTGTGCTGCCAGGCTCCAAGAAAAATGCTGTGTTCACAGTCCCTTGAGCAATCCCTTCAGCAATTTTGGAACAGGGGGCTGCCAGTGATCAAACACAGATACTGCCACACCCTTGTCCATCATTCCTGCCGTGTTTGATGTGAAAACAAGCATCTCGTTGGCCGATGTGGGAATTGGAACGCCCCTCCTTTCATCCGCTCGAGCATGCAGACTGTGCACGTATGTGCCCAGAGGCAAAGCGACGATGAAGTCCATGACAGTGCCATTTGAAGCCCAGAATATGTTGTAGTGAGTAACATCGGATTCGTCCTGGGCTGGTCCGATCTGTACGTCGCCCATCACAAAGCCCTGCGTCGGGTCGTAGTCGGTGAAAGCGATCCAGCCTGCCTTGTGCTCCGGGACTCTGGTGAAGCCGCGCCGCCCTGCGCTCATGCTACCCAAGGAATTCGTAAGCTCATCAATCGCCAGGAGAGGATTCTGTTGTGCTGCTTGGCGGCGGGCCCAGAGCAGATCTTCTGTAGACAACTGCACGTATCTTTGCTGGAAGGGCCGATTCCGGGGATTCCTGTTCTCTCCAGGTGTGCTCTCTTGTTCTTGCCGGTCGGCACGCTGTAGGGTAAGTCCAAGCTGCAGAAGACGAAGTTCGGTCCCCGTGGACGCTTCCTCCGCTTGGAAACCTTCAAGGATGTCGGGCACACAGGTTTCGGCAAAGGATGGGCATCGCTCGCCCAGAGAGTTCCCCACCCAGGCGGAGCACGCGAAATACAGCCACAGCGAAAGGTTGAACCGCTGGGCCAAATTCATGCAGCCAAAAGCGGCTACACCGAGAACATGAATTAGGTT